CTCCGGCTTGACAATGTTCCTCAGAATAACCTCCTGCTATTTTGAGTCATGCAGCTGTAATGACTGGAATAACTCTTAGAGGACACACTTAGGATGAAGAAGCTGGCAAAAAAACTTGACAGTCACAGCCCTTTCCCACCATTCTTGCCACACACAGCAGATCAGCCCAAGACTGCTCATATGCTGGACTGACATCACTATGACCCTGTGCGCTGCCTGTTGAGCTGTCCTGAGACAGTGCCCCAGATCAAAGCTGTAGTACAAAGGGTCAGGATTTGAAACAGGTTCTAGTGTTTGGCCTAGTTAGGTGTGTAATATTCTCTGCTCCTGCCACCTGAAAAAAATGGGGTTTCATAGAGCCTCCAAAGGGTTTATTTCTACCTTCTAATTCCCAAGTAACAGAGGCTTCTGCTCTTCTGCAATGACGACTGAAGCTGAAGTATCCATACCTATCATTTCACAAACGGGCATGGGGCCAATAGAGCATACAGAGAATGATCAAAGGCCAAAAATGATTATCTTTTATAATCTGAAATATGATTTTGACTCTTGAGTAGTTTAAAACAGTTGCATTTACTTTCCAATTTTCATATCAAAGCAAAATGCAAAGAAGTTGATACCACATCATTTGTATGCTTCATTTTGAACTATTCATTTTGATTTAGAAGTAGGATCAAAGAATTCCTCTTTGCCTGATAAGTAAACAGTGACATTTCAATCCAGTAATTATCATTTGCATTCCTGAAGGATTCATCACTGTAAGCATCTAGACTATGCTGACCTGGGGTCACAGACATCATCATCTATTGCACTCTTAGAGCTATATTTAAACCACACTTCAAATATTCTAAACTATGTTTTGTACTGGTTATTGCCCTTGCCCTTTCCTAAAACAATGCCATACAATACATCCTTCTGTGTAGCCATCTTGGAAACCCTGGGCTTCCTCTGGAAGGGAAGGGAATCTTTGCCACTATACTGAGTTTGCATGGCTAGGCTTTGGTAGTGGGAGGGCTACAGAGGCAGCTTCTGTGAGAAGCTGTCAGAAGTTTCCCTTATGTTTGACAGACCTTGGCTCACAAGCTTTTTGCTATATTTTCTCTCCCCTACTCAGCTGAGGGTGGGAGTGGTAGAGTGGCTTTGGTAGGCACCTGGCATCCAGTCAGGATCAACCCACCACAGCAAGAACAGCTCCCAGTGCTATTAACACAGCCGTTCTGTAACCACATCTCAAAGCAGGTACAAAAAATCTTGCAGGGTCACAGTATTAATTTTCTAGCATATAAAACTGTTATATAGACATTACTGGACTTTTCCTGTGTGGTTTGAGAAACTGTGTGGGAGACAGGTTACAGATACATCCCCTATGGCCTCCTCCAATCTACAAATACCAGTCAGAACATGCAGAGATAGACCAGATATAGTGGGAGAGCAACAACTTTGTCACACAATCTGTGGTGATTTTTCCTGTCTGCAGAGTGAATTGGGAAGGGTGGTGGTATTGACAAGTACCAATAAATAAGTATATTCTGAACAGCAAGGAGTTGTGAGCTTAGACAGTGAGATCACATAACAAAGTTAGAATGTAAACTTCTTCAGTTAAACCCATTGATACCCACTTACGGTGCAGCCACCTGCACCATTCCTGCTCTATGGCTTTATCATTAAATGTTTGCTGATGATCAATTTACAAATGCCATTTCCAAGTCACACTGCTATTAACAATAGCAGGGAAGAACTCTTACAATGTGGGCATTGTCACTCTCAGACCACAGCCACACCTTTCCATGTGGCTGAGGCCACTTTTGCCTACAGGAGCACACATTCTTCTGGAAATATCCAAAAAAACCTTAAAGATTAATTTAACTTTTTTATCTCTACCAGCAGCCACATTTCTCAAGCTGAAAGGAACAGCTGTAGAGAGACCACTCCATCATACATTTTGAAAAATAAGGACTGGATGAATTTGTGTTTTGCATTTGATAGATTCATCACTAGTTGAGCTAACAGTGAAATTATTTTTCCTATTAGTACTATAGTGGTGATGTCTGACAAGTAAATGTTTTGGACTTCATGCTATGTCTGACTCAAAGAACACATGGCTCTGTAGCAAACTTAACCTGACATTTCAGTTCAATATTTAACAACTGTTCTGTCTGGAGAGCTCCAAATCATTCATCATTATCTCATTCAAAATGACAGAACATCAGAAGGGGTGCTACTCAAGCCTGTTGTGTCCCTTTATTAGCAGACCTACGTAAGAGAATAATTGCAGCTTATCAGTTTACTGTAATGCTCCCTACCCTTTCTGCACTAATACCCATGGAAGTACAGCAGATAAAAAAGGATCACAAGAACTTATAACTGTCTTCTCTGTTTAGCTTCTCTTTCTATTCCTCCATATACTAGAAAAGGACACCAGAAATTACTTCTACTTGGTGAACATTTCTCAGGAACTCTCCAAAGTACAATAGCTAAACAACAGCTTCCCAGGTGGTAGAATTTAATTCTCTTCCTTGATTTAATTTCAGTTCTGAAGCCATTTTTTCAGACCTACAGCACACATACACACTTTCAACTGTCTCATCCTGAAGGCTGAGTTCCTGATCAGTCAGGAGGTCAAGATGTTAGCATCCTTCAGGACAGAACATAAGTTATGACTTCTACCTAGGGGACAATTTTCATAAAACTTATAGGATTTATAGGATTAAAATCTCTACATCTTTTTTTTTTCCTGTTTTTCTGGTTTTTTCTTCTTTTTTTCTTTTTTGTTCTTTTCCGGAAAATATAGGAATAGATTATATGACCATAAGTCTCATTTCCTCTGGAAATCAGGATAAAAGAAGAACAAATAAACACATTAACTGAAATTCTTAGTATTAAAGATACTAAGGAAAATTAAAATATTCTAAAAAGTTAATAACTTGTACTAGTAGATTTCTTAGAGAATGAAAGCTGTGTTAAAAGATTCAGAAAAAATGGCATAAGTAAATATTTTGCTCCAAATTAAAAAAAAAAAACAAAAAAAACAAAACTAAACCAAACCCCAAGAAACAAAACAACCCCACAAAAGAAAACAAACCCCACCAACCCAAAAAAACCCCCCCCCCCCCCCCCAAAAAAAAAAAAAAGCCCAAAACACTACCCAATGGCAACTTAGTGACTGCTTTAGTTTCGTTTTTGAAGCATTATGTTAAGGAGATAAACACATACCAGAATAGATGGGCAATAGTATCTGTAAGGGAAACTGCAGTTGAACAAAACTTGGTTTGTTCCACCCATCTCTCTGATGAGCTTTCCCTAGAAATACTGAAAATTTGCCTCAAGTTCAGGTTCTTTCCTCCCAAACATCCCAGTCTCAGTCTCTTGTACAGCAGTAAGAGGCTCTGAGGAGCCTACTCTCCACAGAGAATCCCACTGCTCTCCTGATGGGAAGAAAGTATTCAAATAAATTGCCACTGGGACTTATTTTTAATGTAGAAACAGTTGAAGTGGTGTAATCCAACAGACACAGATGGTAATGTCTAATTTGTATAGAGTAGTTAATAGCATAACACACTGTCAAAACAAGGCAATTAAAAAAATATCAAGAGCATGTTTCCCTTTTGACTGGTTGTATTATTTTACAAAAAACTGAATGTAGATTTTAGATACATTGCAGAGGAAAGAAAAAAATTAATTCAATTCAGACCTCATAGTCTGGGAAAGGAAACATGAAACAGATCCAGATGGTTTCTGGAAGAAAAAGATGGAGTTTGAAAAAGATGAAACTTTTGCTATCTGGACCTCAATGTTTGGCATTGGAGAGGGAGGGCATAATAAAATTATGTTTCCACAGATGAATTCTTAACATGTTAAATCCTCTCAAGTCTTAACTGATATTTTACTTTGGCTGTTGTCTGAGTTGTCAGTATGTACACCTGGAGCAGTAACCTATCTTAAACAAAGCTATTTTTGATATTTCAGAGAGTAAAATATTTACCAAATATTTCAAATCTTTCTGTTCAATATACTACCTATCGCTGGCAAATTGCTACCTTTTTATAGCAGCATGTCTTGTTTACCTGACAATGTACTTGAATTTAGCTTATTTCTCTCAAAACTAAAATGTGGTTTGTTAGGTAGATCAACACAAAATTTGGCACCCACTGTCGTTGTTAAGGATCCACAGAGAGATTTGAAGCTGCTGTAAAAACTGCAGGATGACAGTCATTGATTTTTTTTTTTTTTTTTTGAGTTGGATTTTTTGTTGTTTTTAATGCACATGTCAAAAAACTGTTATTCACCTCATAGCACCTGAGTCAAGCTCAGCTCTGGTGAAGAGGATAATAAAGGACTCCCTAGGTAGAAGCAAATTTATCAGCAGTAGTCTACTGTGACAGTTGGGTAATCCACAGTAGGGGCCTTCTCTTGAAAACACTGTCAGCGAGTTCATGAAAGTCTCCTGTTTCATTCAGTAATACAACACTGACAGAGCAGAAACTCAAGCAATTCTATTGCTATTAGTGTTGCTGACCTTCCTCAGATTACTCATCTGGAGGGTAAAAAAAAAAAGAAAAGAAGTGATGTTGAAGCACTAACGAGCTGTAAAAGTCAGGAAATACCCAGGCCACAAGGCTTCACATTTCCTATTAGAACAAGATTGTCTTATTCAGAAAGGAAACATTTCTTACAAAGGTTTCTTGTGCTTCAGCTAAATACATAACCTCAGAACTCACCCTCCACCCATATCCATCCACTACTGCCATAAGAACAGTCATACTTTTTAAGAGCAAATTCCATAGGTTTTAAAAAACACACTGTAGCATTCAGGGACATGAGTTGTTTCACAGACAAAATAGCAATTTGAGAGTATCACAACAAATCCATTCTGTACAAGAAAGTAAATAGTTTAGAAAAGACAAGTTCTGGATCACTATCATGCAACCAAATCCTCTCATACAAACACCAAAAAAAAAGGAGAAAGTAAAGGATGTACGGAACAAAAAGTTATCATTGACCTGATTTGTCAGAGATGTTGGCTGTGACTGGCGTGGTGGAGCAGCCCGTGTTAACCTTTGCGCTGTCCTTGGAAGAACCAGCTTTGGGTTTGTTTTTCGTTGCCTCTAGTGCTTTGACCTTCTTGGCATGTTTACTTCCTTTGTAGTGGGCCTCGGCCTGGCTCTACAAAGGAGAACAAATCAGGCTCACTTTTTTTTGCACTTGTATATAATACAATGGGTGACAAGGCAGAAAAGTGACACTTTCAATAGTAGGCACCATATTATTCCACCTAAAAATTTTTAATAGCTTTATACTAACACTTTTAATGGATGTAAGTTCTTATATTTTAATGAATATTGCATGTTTTCAGTAACTTGGAAAAATTCAAGATTACATAGCACTCTGTCACTCCTAAGGTAATTCTTTACTTCTATGGTGCTTAAAAGTTTAAAGGACTATACAAATGCAAATACATCCAATTCAAAAAGATGCTACTCAATTTTCATGTGGTGTTCCTTAGTCTTTATTACTTGCAGTTCGAAAGATGTACTGTGCTGAAACATGACTAAATAATCCATTTTTGCTTCTGTTTGATCTAATACAGATGTCATAAAATACTTTCATTTTCATACTAACAGCAACTGAAACAATTGAAAAAATATTACTTTACTAGTAGATCAAAAAATAAGGGTTAAAATAAGGAAACACCATATCTGTAAACTTCAAGTACAAGAAAACTAAATACTTGCCACTCTTGATTGCTTTATAAATTGTCTTGAATATTATTTTTAAATACCAAGAAAATTGGAACCTGAAGGACAGGGAGAAGAGGAGCTTTTAAAAATTATTATTTATTTTGTCTTAATCTGCCCAAACAGAACAGTATAAATACATACTGAGATGTTTCCTTTACCTTTGCCTTAAAACTATCTTCAGAAACTAGGTCAGTGTTTTTGAAGTTGCACAGCTAAAGCTAGACACATAAATATCTGCCCATTTTTTTCAATGATTTTGAGTCCCCTTCATGGCTCCTGACGCTATTTAATCAGATGCTTTGACAAATCAGGCCACTTTGTTAGAAGCTGAACTAAGGAACTACATATTAAATATGAACTCCAAAGCTTGGAAATTTCAGCTAATGAATTTAAGTGTTTTTTTGACTTCTTATAAAAATTAATTTACCAAATAATGGACAAGAAAAAAATCCTATCCAAACTAGTTTGTTTTCATGATGAGTTTGTATTGAGAAATAGCTTTGCATTATTAATATTTCCGAACACAATTTTAAAACGCTATTTCAGGCATACCACTAGGTGCCTCTATTGAAGGTTACATATTAACCAAAAAAGTTAATATTGCTGTTTACTTCAAATTAAAACATTAATAGAAGGCATGCTTCTTCTAAGCACATCTTGGAACCTGGCATATAAAAACATCAGTGCAAGTAAACTTTCACTGTGTTCATGCAAAACCACATTCATTCTCTCTCATCAATCAATTATCAACTACTTTATTTATTTCGCTGTGTTAAATGAAGCGAGCCATCAAACAAGTCACATGCTTTTTATAAAGAGCAACTAGAATATCTAAGATGCTTGAACTCCATAAAGAGTGCTACCATAATGAGGAAAATTGTTCTAAGATCAGCAGAAATGGGCATTACAATACAGTCACCCTGGGACAGCATGTAATAACAGCATTATCATATGGTAGAAGTGAAGAATAGAAACAGCTGGGCAAGAGAACAGACAGTATGTTGGAGTCCTCACACAAGTAACTGGCATCATTAAACTAATGGAGAATTGTTGCTAAAATAGAGGACTTAAGTTCTTACACACCAGAACTTAAGTGATTTTACAGCCCATGAAACAGTGCTTTCCATCTCAGGACAGTGTATGTTGTGGGCACATCTTTCCTTTAATTGGAGATTTTAGTAAGCAAGCATTCAGTAAGAAAGGCTGCTAGATTAGTTTTATTTTAATTCCTCTGAAAGTGAGATGTCTTTTAAAAACTTTATTAGAAAAACAGCAAAGAATTTACTCATAAATTGCTAGTAAAATATTTCTTGATTTTAAAACCTTTGAAATATTAAGACGCATACAAACACAATTTAAGGGTTATAAAGAAACAACTAACCAGCTATACCACTAGTACTATGTGCACTACTTAAAGGGACACTTGTCAACTTCTGGGTTGGATCTCTCCAGTTCTGAATGTGGGCAGAGGAACACAGTCCTGTTTTTGCCCTGCTATGCCAATGTGCCTTCTGAGGCACAGGAGTCACATCCTGTCTCTGTCCACCTTTGCTGGCTTTTTCCATTTAAGCTTTTCAGTTGCAACATGATGCACTGGAAGGGTGTTTTCCGCCAATAAAATTCAATAAACTATTCACACATTGCAGTGTAAAAAAGTGGAACTAAAAATTGGGGTGAATATATACCCTTTCCATTCCAACACCTTTAACTTTCAATAATAGCAACTACAGGATTGTCCATTCAAGCATCCTCAAGTTGATGATGTCCCTTTAAATATTTGAACTCTATTCTCTGCGCATATGTGTGCTGTTGATAGGATCATATGCTGCCTGAGGCCAAAGCTATGACATAGGAAACATAAATGCACTCAAGAGAAAGACTTAGTAAGTCAATTGCTTGATAATAAGCCTTTCTGCTGATATTTGCAATAATAATGCCTGCAATATCAGTAATAACCTACTACAGTTTTTGATTCCCTTCATTCAATCCTCATATAGTGTACATGAGACCTGTTGAGAACAAACAAGCCCAGGCAGGATTAAATTAAGATTTCCATAATAACAAGCAAAGCTTCATGGGAACATGGTGAATGGACTAATTTTTAAGCTTTCTAATTATCATAATCTATCAAACTCATAGCTGTATGTTATAAGGCAAAAAAATACTGCTGTGATCAGTCTAAGCAGGGGTTTGGAAATGCCATCCTTCTTCAATGCTGTTCAAATTAGACCATAATCCTTTGGGGGTCAGTAGGATTCTCCAGGTTGAATTTTAAAGTAATAAGGGGATGGAAAAATCTACCTTTCAAAAACTGTTTCAGTGCCTCACTTTGTCAGTTAAGTAGATGCTATTTGTTTCTACATTGACTTTGTCAAGTTTCAGTTCCAGGGGCTGCCCATTGTTAGAGCTTTGGTTTTTAGACTTTGTCAGCTCATCACTGTTCTGTGAATAGAAACACAGATACTCTTTCCAAGCATGACATTAGAGAAACATTCCTTGAAGTATTGAAGCAATCTTTCCTAACCACATAAGCACTATTTTCTAGTCCTTTCAGATACACTTGAAGTTCAGAGTTTGCTTTTTCTTATGCACTGTGGGATAAATAATTTGATTCAGCTGCCTTTTGGTAACTGAAATGCTGTACTACCATGTTACGTAAACCTTTGGAGTTTTCTGGAGTCATAGCAAGCAAAAGAAAAAAGGGCAGCTGAGGCAATGGGAAATTGGAACTCAAGTTCTGATTAGTACTGATACCAATTATTGTGATTATTAATTTCCTGATCATTAATAATTTTAATTTTATAAAATATTTGCAAAAGCACCACATTCAAGGCAAACATATTTGTTCCTAGTCTCACTTAAAACTTGCTTATGAGACAAATACAGCAATAGAGCAGAGGCTATGAGCTTTGAAATCATTGAAATACTGGATCTATCCTAGAAATAAGCCATGACATATATAATTTTCACTTTTAGTTAAGGCAAGAAGCTGAAAATTTATTTTCATTTGCTCTGGTAATCCATAGGAAGTTATGTACACATAGGGTTCAAAATTCATGTGCATAAAAGAAAGATACTTTACCAATTTTAATATAAACCCCCACTAAAATACAAAGTTAACTTAAGAGTAAATATCTTTGGGATACAATATTTTAAATGGATAATGAAGGTACTTTTTGATCATCATTAAGTACAACTAATTAATGCAAATTATGTGTCAGCAAAACAATATTTAAAAAAATAAAAAAATAGGAAAAACCAAAATTAAAATCCATTACCTCAAAATAGCTTTCTATACTCACGTACTGTAATGATTTTAATTGCAAAATACTTTATTCCAGTGTAAACAGCTGCATTTACTGTAGGCATTAACTCATTCTACACTAAAATAATTTATCTGTGCCACAATTCAACATTAAATATTTATTTTTCATTTCAAAAATATTATTTTACATCTATTTATTACAGAGTTGGTATTAAAGCTTACTATTGAATTATCATTATTACAATTTTGAAATTAAATGCATAATAGGTTAGGAAAACACTTTTTGAGAAAGTGGAATAAGAAAATATTTCTATTAAAGAACTCCTTAGCTGAAAGGAATCTTTAATTTTGAATTGAATCTAATACTGACTGTAATCTGCTAGCTTGAGATATATATATATATTACACATTGCAACAGTTTAAAAAAGGACCCGCCTACTTATTAGACAGCACAGATAGTAATCAAGTACTGGCTAGTAAGGTTTAATGAACAAGAAAAGCTTTAAGCTGCCATAAATGTGACATTATGAATCAGAATATAAAAAATACCTTTGTACGGACACACCAGATTCCAAAAACGTGTTTATACATTTGGCTGGCATTACTTTTTGATCAATAGGATGCATATTTTATGATACTAAAAAATATGTCTACCTATTTGTAAGACCAAGGCTTAGTGAATAGCTGTATTTTAAATTAAGTTGCAAATAATTAAGAATATAATTGACAGACAACCATGTAATTTTTCCCCGTAATTTTTCTAATGTATACACCTTAAAATTTATACACCTCAGTTCTATCCAGAGTCTTTTAGTATCAATTAAAAACCCCTAAACAATCAAACCTTATGAATGTTTTAATTTTCAAGAAAGCCTCTATGTCATAAGGATTAATGATCTGGCTGTAAGAAAGGATAGCTTTTTCTGTTCTTAAAAATTATACAAATGCAATATTTTATTTAAAACTGCTACTTGCAAGTAGCAAGTAGCTACAGATTATTAAATTTGAGATCCAAACAGGATGTTAAATTGCATAACTACATAAAATACATATACAATAGCCTTACATATACTGGACTGCATTTAATAAAACAGCAACAATTTATATTATCTTCTACATGTAAAAAGGCTTTTGAAAATAAAATTTAATTACATTAGCCT